CCCCCCCCGCCCCAGCCCGAGGCGGGCGGGTCGCGTGAGCGCCTGGCGGGGGGAGGGGCAGGGCAGAGAAGGCCCGGAGCCTTCATCCGAGTATCAGACATGAAACTTTCTCGTTGAAGGAAGCAATTTCGAGAGAATAGTTTGAGAAGTTGTTCTCTTAGCCCCCATTTTATATTTATGGAACCTAACCTTTGAGCTCCGCGCTTCCTACGCCCTTCACTCCCATTTACTGGCTGACGCTGCCTGCCACTCCCACCCCTTTGATCGTGCAGTTGGAACATTCCTGTCGACCATTCTTGCTGCCCTCATACGCGCTGTTTATTTGGCTTCGAAAAATGGCTGTGGTTTTGCGCCCTTACAGCTTCGTGAAAGTTCCGTAGTCTTTACAAAATGTCAGCAACCAATAGCAATTGTATTGGGAATGGAGAGCGCACGGATTTTGCTCTTTCGAATACATTTGTTATGTTCATTAGGGATCGAGCATCGCAGAGGCTCTCTCCGACCTAATTTCTGTGTCTGGAAAAAGTTTCTCTTGGAATGTGCACTGTTTCGTGACACGGCATTATTGCGGTGCGGTAGGGTTGGCCCATTTTCCCACTAACTAATGAATTGTTTTACTCTTTCACTTAAGGATCCTCGAAATTTACTTTATTGCATTGTAATTTAATGGATTTGCGTTCAAGGTTGTTGCTGCTTCTGAAATACTGGTTTAAATATTTAAGAATTTAACAAGTTTTCTTTGAAATTTCCAAAGGCAAAACCAAGAAAAAAGGAACGTAAGAGTCCCCAGTTACGAACGGAGCTATTTTTTTATTGCTCTCCTTTGCAATAACAGACCCCATTTGGTGACTTTATAGGAAACCGGTTTGAAACAGGAAGGTTTTATGTTGGTTCTTTCTCACCCGTGGGCTTTCTGAAACGTCGTTTGTGTAGTTCCCCTGACAAGAATGGGTGGGATGCTATTGCAGGGAGTTGCATACAGGTATTTGAAAAAGTCCCGTCTTCTTTTTTTGTAAAGGGCCAGGTAGGCAGGCATTAGAGCACCTTTTGTACTAGAGACTACTTGTGATGTTGACCTTAGCTTGATTGTTACTGCTTTTAGTGTTTATGGGATTGAACTAAGTTGTCAGGTGTTTCAGAATTTTACCTTTTCTCCTGAGATTTTTTTTTAAAGCTTACACGTATGCACATCCACTCATAGTTATGTCTGAAACAAACACGTTTTACTTCTTTTATTAGAACGTGTCAAAAAATAAATACGCTATTTGTGTCTGGAACCAGGATTTGGGTTGGGATTTAAGAGGATTATACTGGCGTGGGTACTGTTTTATTTAATACTGTAGATTGACATTCCAAAACTTCCTGTTCTCAACTTTAAAAATGAAAGTATGTGAGGGGCGCCTGAGTGGCACAGTTGGTTAAGCTGCCGACTCTTGGTTTCCGCCCAGGTGGTGAGATAGAGCCCCGCCTCCCGCTCCATGCCCAGCTGGAGTCAGCTTAAGACTCTGTCTCCCTCTCCCTGTGCCCCTCCCCACCTTAAATAAATAAAATCAATCTTTATTTTTTTTTCTTTTTTAAAGACTTTATTTGAGAGAAAGAGAGAGAGAGGGCAGAAGTTGGGAGAGAGGGGAGAGGGAGAAGCAAGCTCCCTGCTGAGCAGAGAGCCTGATGCTGCTCCATCCCAGGACCCCAGGATCATGACCTGAGCTGAAGGCAGACGCTCAACTGACTGAGCGACTCAGGTGCCTCTTGATCTTTAAAAGAAATTTTAAAAATAAAAATTAAAGTATGTGGAATCATGTAATAATGGTTTTTGTCTTTTCAAGCCACTTGATAAGGTCTTAACTGTGATTAGGGATATGACAGGTATTATTTATATTTTTGTTTTGTTTTTTAAAGTACTATTTTGCAGTTCTTACCCCTGTGAAATGCATTTTCTCAGTGACTGCTGAGAATATATCAAATCCTGGAATAAATCCCAAATTAAAAATACAGTATTTTAGTACAGACTTTTACTTTCTGTGCAGAAATTCCCAACTACATTTCACCTGATTTCCAGGTTTTTTCTCCTGCTGAACTTTTTCTCTCTCCCAGGATGGAGATGCCAGCAAGAAATGCTATTCAGCAGCTGACCCATGGAATTACACCACGATCACCACTTCCCCAGCACCGCCCCACACACACTTTTCTTTTCAGTAGGCAGCCCATTTCCTCCAGTGACACATTATTTCAGGAAATCTTTCAGCACACATGTAACATAAGCTTTGAAATGTAGGTATATACAAGATCAGGTGTTGAACACCTTTTCACGTGCCATTTAAAGATCCTCTTTTGTGAAGTACCTGTTCATGTTTTTTTCTCATTAACAGGAATAAGAGGTTATGCCTTTTTAATCTTGCTAGAGTTATTTTAATGGAGTTTTGGGAGGGAACAGGGCTAACTGTATGTGAGTAACCTGCCACCTTTAAGTGGAATTGGGTAACTTTAAAGCTTCATCCAGATAATTTTTTCTCATTTCTGTCCTCTCCAATGATTCAAGCTCTTTTTTTTTTTTTTTTTTT